GTGGAAATGTTTAAACCACGTGTTACAGCTAACCCCACGTTAGTTCGTGCCCCGCTCATACATACAGACAGAGTTTTGTTTTCTGTTTGAATTGGTCCGTTAAAAAGTAGACATTTCAAGCTTTCTATAGATATATTTCTTGCGTCTGTAAGGTAAGTAGCCGATACGCTGAGTTTCGGTTCATTTTTGTGCCGAGTTCCAGTTCACGAAGACGAAAACGGCAGAAAGCGTGTCTTGTTTGTTATCTTTGTTTTGCAAAAGCACAACGTCTTATTGATATTGTGAGTGTATACAAATAAAAGTAGATCCTTCACATTTTCAAATGATGTATTACTCTTAAGTGTATGTGCAAAAATGACAGCGTATTTTAAGTTGTTATCTTGAATGACAATGATCGCACTGGTGTTCTAACAAATAATGCTAGCCTACTGCTACCTATCAGATTATGCTACCAACACTGTATTTTTAATATTGTAAGGTTAGGTTTAGGGTTGGGGGTAGGTGTACATACTAATAAAATCTCAAACCACATTAATATCATGCTATCAGATAGGTAGAATTTCTCGCAGTCTATTTTACCTACTATTTTAATGGCAGGGTCTGACAGGGTATCACTGATTAGGTTAATGTCAGAGCGGGCTTTGCAAAGTAGCTGCCACTTAAATATGTTTCAATAATAAGCCATATTTGAGGTGGATGACTGACAGGTGAGCGTTTGGATATCCTGCCCGATATACTGTAATCACCACAAGGACCAGCCGTTAACAATCTGTCCGTCACAGACGTGGACAGTTTTTTCTGCGGAGTGTCTATTTACACAAAGTGCAAAAAAGCCCACCTTGTTGGCAGAGGCTATTTACACTAACTCCGCCCTCCAACATGTGGTTGGGCTAGGCAACAGTACAAAAGCTATTAAACAACAGCTCCAGTGGCGTAGATGGTAAACTGCGTAACACTTCTTGATGCGATCAACCCGAGTTCGAAACTGCCGTTTGCCGAACTCGTTCTTCTCCATTTTCACATCACATATCACATTGGAAGGGCATTTATTTTCAATAAAAATGATGGAAATAATTGAAAAGTGGAAAATAAAGTGCCTCATGGGTGTTTATCGGGTGTAGGGGTAGGTGTAGGGAGGGCTTTATTGTCCCAATAAGGCTATTTTCTCTTACTGCAAATAGAAGCTGTCTTTTTTCTGTGATTAACCAACTATAAAAATTTTAGTCGACTAAGCCTCTAAACGGGGCAGCCCTATATGAGATACCTTTGTGTGAAAGATGATAGATTTATACAGATTATATAAAAGCTTTAGCTTGAATATATAAAGCAATTTTGCAATTCTCATTTGCTATGATCTTTGTAGTTTGTGATCAAAAAATAAAGCATTTGTGATGTCAAAGTATATACTGTCGAAACATCATACTTTTTGAAATGTCTTTAAAACAATGCGATTTAAAAACAAAACATTAAAAAAGCAAAAGTGTTGAATATTTATAACTCACTCAACAATGAGAACTATAACTACTGAAACTGTTATTAACACTGCTTTTAAAGCCCAATGAGATTCTGTTTCGGAGACTTTCTAACGGAGCACAAGCATTGGGTTCTGAGGTTTTAACAACCACACATCGATGGCAATTCTTCACATAATCATCAATATCTTTTTTCATTCCAATCCAGAAGAATCGTTGTCTTGCTAGTGACAGTGTTCTACTACGTCTTTGATGCCCTACTGCATCATGGATTCCATGAAGAACTTGCGCTTTCAAAGAAGCAGGTACAACAAACAGGTACAGTTTCTTGTTTAGCTTCGGATCTCTTTTCATCTGATATAGCACACCATTACAGACAACCAGTTAGTCTTGGTGCTTCAACAGTGTCCGCACACTTGTGGATTCCGTTGCTTGTCCTTTCTAAGATGGTTTCCGACATCTCTCAATATAATACAGAATCTGACACAAGGTGATGTCCTGTCCCTGCACATTTATGATGTTGCTGAGCTGCAAAGGAGGGTTAAACTGTTGCGGTTGCGATATGGCTGGCACTGTCCCCAATACTTCGCTTAAACCCCCAGCAGCGTGTGAAGCTCCCAGAAGAACCTGAAGGCAAGAGTCCATCCCTGGTTGGGTCATAAGAACCTTCGCAATCTCCCTGCACCACCTGATGGTTATTTGCGCACTTGAAAGCATCTTGGACAGAGTTGTCAACAACACCACTAACATCCTTTAAGAGAGTTAAGTATGGTTCAGTAATAAGGCAATGTCCTACGCAAAACTGGACAAATGGCTCACGGCTCAAAACATCCGCAACAACATTTTTTTGTTCCCATCAAGTCGTGGTTTAGTCAGAATATATGTAAGAGGATTATTGTCAGTCCATGCCGTAAAGTGCCGTCCTCTCAGCCAATGGCTAAACTTATCACAGATAGCCCACTTTAAGTTAAGTCACCTTTATTTATATAGCACTTTTAACAATACAGATTGTGTCAAAGCAGCTTTACAGTATTAAATAGGAAAATAGTAAACACTCAATTTTCATGCAATTTCACTATTTACATACATACATACATACATACATATCTGACATCAGAACAGAAACATTTAAATAAGACTTAGCAATAAATAATAATGATGTGTATGAATCTGGAACAGAATATTTATGTGCATTATACTCTTTATATACAGCTGTATAAAAAAAAAAAACTACAGACACCAAACTCCAGCTGCTGCATTTTGGGCCAGCTGGAGTTTGTTTATTAAGTGTGCAGAACAACCACCCAATAAAGCACTACAATAATCTAACCTTGAGGTCATGAACGCATGAATTAACGTTTCTGCATTTGACATTGAGAGCATAGGTCGTAATTCAGATATATTTTTGAGATGGAAAAATGCGGTTTTACAAATGCTAGAAACGTGGCTTTTGAAGGAAAGATTGCAATATACATCTAGGATGTCTTGAGGGTGAGTAAATCATGGGCTACTATCCCTTTTCTGAGGGGGCAGTCATGGCCTAATGGTTAGAGAGTCGGACTTGTAACCCAAAGGTTGTGGGTTCGAGTCTCTGTACCGGCAGGGATTGTCGGTGGGGGGAGTGAATGTCCAGCGCTCTCTTCCACACTCAATACCACGACTGAGTTGAGACCCTTGAGCAAAAATGTAGCAAAGCACGAACCCCCAACTGCTCCCCACTGCGTTGTGTGTTCATGGTGTCTGTGTTTGTTCACGACTCACTGTTGTGTGTGCGCACTTGGATGGATGGCTTAAATACACATATTCCAAGTATGGGACATAGCTTGTTCCATAACCATGTGTCACGTCCTCCTCCTTCAAGTCCTTCAATACATAATGCATTAGCGCCCCTGCTGGACAAATCTCAATATACACTCTACCCATACAACAAGTTGATGCACAAAATCAGCTCCCCGATAAAGAGGTGGACTGGCACAAAGTATTTTATGTATTTTGTAAATACAAAAATACTAATCTTAAATGTATTTAAATACAAATTACATTCGATATTTTCCAAAGGCTTTAAAATGCAAAATAGCATTTTGTATTTAAAATATGCATTTAAATGCATGTATCTGAAATATTGCCCATCTCTGTCCATATTCCAGGATGACAATATCAAGATTCACTGGACATAAACTGTGAAATAGTGAGAATGAGGAATCATTTTCACAAATGAATTGATCACCACAGAGTCCTGAGCTTAACCCAATTGAAAATCTTTAAGATGCACTGGACTCGACTAAAGAGCAGGCTGACAATATCTCGGCCAAAAACTAATGCAACACTTGATGAAAATAAATGCAGTGATGTTATATAATGTTGTTGCAACAATGCCACAATGAAAGCACAATCTTATCAAAGCTAAAGATGGTCCAATGAAACATTAGAGTGTGTGGCTTTTTTTACGCAGTGTCAAGTCGACTCCAGCACATCCTGAAGGCTTTCAGTGGGGTTATATGGTTAGGACTCTGTGGAGGACAATCTCTCACAATTTGTGCCTGATGAATCTTGACATTGTCATTCTGGAATATGGACATGGGTACATCTTCAGACTTGTCCAAAAGTAGTACTACATCTTCCTCTCTGCCATTGCTTTTAAATCACATTTGCAGTCACATGACCAGTCATGACATTTTGAATAGCTTTACTGGTATTGAATAACTACATTTTCATTTTGTGGGTGAACTATTCCTTTGAAATTATTTAAAAAATTTAATTCTTTTATCATAAGATTCTGTTATCATACTGAATAAATAATTGTGTGGCTCTCAAATTTTTTTTTTTTTTACATTTTCTTTGTTGTTGTTTTTAAATTCCTGCCATTTTCGGCACTGATCACTATAAGCTGAAACCAACATTTTGGACCTTGGATTCTCAGACTTTTCAGCAGATATGGTTATTTGTTCTTCTTAGTGTGCAAGAGTTTACAGTAAACTGCACTAACACTTTTGCAGCTTAATTTCAGCAAATGCTTTTTTTTTCTCACTATACTAGAGAATTCTGAAACAGTTATATTGAAATCACACAATTATCACACTTCTGAAAGTGTACCCATAACACATACACATTACATGTGTTAATATGAGAGTAATATGAAAGAACTGCAGTCTATGCAAAGTTATACACACTTTTATTATTCACGTTATGACATGTAAACCAGGAAGAGACATGATTGCATTTGCAAGTCTTTGTAAAGAACTTTTTTTGTATGGTAAATATTATTTATTAATCAAAAGCATGTGCCAGAAGCTGTTCATTGAGCTCAACTTGTATAAAACATGGGCTATTTATGATCATATGTGTCTGTCACATAAACCATAGTGGCTTTTGGGAAACGCAGTGCTGGTCTCATATTTTACGGTAACAATCTCATTCTACAATAAATCAATCCGATCTTCTGTTTATCTTTTTAGCAAATAAAGATTTTTTCCCCTGAGGTATGTCAAAAAGCGTTTAAAGAAGATGTTGTTGACAATGTCTTTCATTATATGGGTGAAATATACGGTTGGAAAACGAAAGTGTAATTTCATCAGCAGCCAGTGAGGGACAGCAATGCCCTCAGCAACACCTGGAAGAAGCGTTATAAACTTTCACTTCACTGTTGATCTGTTCAGTGCGCGGGACTGAAATATACATAACTGAAATAGTTCGTTTTCTGTGCAGACAGGAATGTTTTGGCTAATTGTATTATTTCTTTTTATTTTCATTTCTCCTCAAAGCAATGCGAAACAAGGTAAGCACAAAATTTTCCGGTCAAATTTGGGACTTATACGGTTAGTACCCCCTAATGAAGGCTAGTTTACTGGTTGGAATGAAAAGATTGACTAAACTGCATCAGTAAGCTTTCAATCAGTAAGTCTTGATTTACCTGACAGACATAGGCTTATATTATAATGTTGACTAGTACAATGCTTACATTTACATTTTAAAAGAACATTATGTGAATAAATTACATTGTTAGCTGTCTTTAAAGCGAACCTGACCTAAACAGCTCTCATCTGCCTGCATAGCAAAATCAATAATAATAATAATATCTAATTTATATATATATATATATATATATATTATTATTATTATTTTTTTTTTTTTGAAGGCTTTATTTATTTCAAATACAGTTTCAGAATGTTATTTTCAGATAAATAAAAAAAATCATCATGTTGTTGCTTGTTTCCATTACGTTGTCCTTGTTTTGTTGCTTTGTAAGTTTCCGGTGTGGTTTGATTCTGCTGCTGGTTTGCTTGTTGTGCACTATCGGGCCACAGTCTGTACACTCTCAGAGAAAAGGTACAAAAGATGCCACTGGCCCGGTACTCTTTCAAATGTTACTTAATTGCACTATTTGGGTACTAAAATGTTCTATTTAGGCAGTATGCACCTTTAAAGTACTAATATGCACTTTCAGGGATAAATAAAGAATAAAGGTGCACCTTTTGAAAAGGTAAGGCTCTAGTGACAGCTTGTGTATCGTTTTTTCTGAGAGTGTAGCTATGTTCAGCTTTAAGAACAAATGCTGGAACCAAATGGATTTCGTTTCTGACTAGCTGGTAGTTACTAAAGCCTCTAGTTTGGATTTTATGTTCCAGTTTAAGTAAGAACTTACAAATGACAGGTGCGACCCTACATCATTTTTACATGCTTGCTGGCAGAAGAAAAGCTTTTTGCGGTTTCTTTTATTGTGGTTTGTGCTTTTTATCTTCCTCAGAGAAACACTGCCTGCACTACATGTATACAGGCTTAACCAAAGCTGGTCCATTTCCTGAGTTCATTGCTGAGGCTGAATCTGATGACAAACAGATTGTTCGCTACAGTAATGAAAAACACGCCTGGGAAAGAGACAATCTGACTGTAGATGACTGGAGCAAAGCTCCTGCAGAACCACCTGAAACTAGAGAAGAGTTCTTAAAACATCTATATGATCTGTCAAAGTGCAAATACTCTGCAGTGTGTTCTGGTGAGTTTAGACCTTTTCTCTTATCAACATCTGAGCGCAGGAATAAAAACAAAGGTGTCATTTCATCAAGTAGCCACTTTGAGGATCCCTATACCATATACCCTCAAAAGGCACTCACTCCCAAGTGTACACCCACAAATTATTAAGTTATTATAAGAAGTTATATATTTTTATTAAGAAGTTATTATAAGAACTAACCCAGGTGAAAAAAGTGCACTTCCATAGTGTACTTAAAGTGCTCTGTTTTCACACTCTAATTGTTTACTTAATATACAAAAAAGTTTACGTTTTTTCACTGTAAACTGTACAATGACTTGTTCTTTTACACTTCTAAAAAATTTAATTTTAACAATTTTAATTAAATGTAATTACAGTTATTCACTGTATATAATATGGAAACTTACTGTTAACCAATTAACAGGTTTTTACTGTAGCAATTTTACAGTCTTTTCCTGTTAAGATCACAATCCTTTTTTACAGAACTTTTCTCTTATCAACATCTGAGCTCAGGAATAAAAACAAAGGTGTCATTTCATCAAGTAGCCACTTTGAGTATCCCTATACCCTATACCCTCAAAAGGCACACACTCCCAAGTGTACTTAAGTGTAATTACACACACACACACACACATAATGATTTTGTGTGATTTTAGAGTTTCACGTACTCCAGAGAATAGTTGGCTGTAAAGTGGTGAAACTTCCTAATGGAACAGTGACGAATCTGAAGGCTTTTGACGAGTATGCATACGATGGAATAGATCTCCTTACCTTTCATTACAACCACCCGCTTCCGTGGATGGATAAAGACATAGAAACCAAAATGGATCATCAAACTGGACGAAACCCATTCCTCATGGATTTCCTCAACAACTGCACTAAGTGGATCTCCACATTTAACAACACATATAAGAGTAAGTTCTGATCGCAATTAGCTCATGTGTGTTTGTGTTTTTGACTCTTTCTAATTCTGTCTTGGTACAGAGGTTGTTTATCATCATGACATTAAGACACTTTAAGCCATGTTTAAATATTCTAACCTGTATGACTTTTACTGTAAAAAAAATAATCCACCTCAACTTAAAAACTTAATTTGCTGCCTTAAATTTTGAAGTATAACCAAATTATCTGTACAACTAATTTCTTGACTTGTTTTTATGTAAAGGCATCTACTTCAATCTCATATACTGTACCTTAAATGATGTTGAAATTGGTAAAATTATTTTGATGAGTTGAAGTATTGGAAAAAAAAAAAAAAACATGTTGCCATGACTTATATATCATATTTTTTACAGTGTTCTTTCTGGGACAAAAAATTTGATTTTGTTTTAAGGAAAGTAAGAATGCAACTTGTTGACAGCACAGAAAGCAGTTACAGAAAGTTTAATGTTTGTTGTTAATTGCATTATTATTTTCTGCTCCAGGTCAACCAGATGTTCGTGTCTTTGCAAGAAAAGCTCCTGATGATCACAGTAAGCTGAATCTGAGCTGTCTGGCCACTGGTTTCTACCCCAGAGATATTGAGATGAACATCAGATTGAACAGAATTAACACTGAAAACCAAACGTCATCTGAAATCAGACCAAATGATGATGAAACCTTTCAGATAAGAACCAGTGTGAAGATTGACAGAAACCACAAAGGATCTTATAGCTGTTTTGTCATTCACAGCAGTCTGACAGAACCAGTTTCAGTAGAATGGGGTAAATATCACCAGAAATACAGTCACTCACATATTTGTAACATGAGAACATGATAATGCTGTTATAGATTAATGTTGCTGGCCCCAGACAATTTAATTTAAATTGCCTTAACGCATTTCAGTAGTTTCTAATGTTTATTTAAAAAAAGAAAACATTTATTATACATTCATTATGTATTATTTTTATTTTAATTTTGCAGATGGAAAATGTTCTAACTGTGATCCAGACCCTCCACGGTCTGCTGCAGCAAGAGTATTAGTAGCGGCATTTCTAGTTTTTCTTATTGTGATTGGTTGCTGCATCTACAAAAGGAGAAGATCAAGTGGTGGGTTATAAATATTTAGCATGATCATTGTTGCATTAAACCTCTAAATATTCTTGTTTTAAAGGGGTCATAGGATGCCCATTTTCAAGTTGATATGATTCTTTGGGGTCTTAATGAAAAGTCTGTAACAAGGCGATTTGCAAAGATTCATTAAAAAAACCTTACACTCACTCCTTCTGTAGATGAGGCTGGATCATGAATGATTCGCGCGAACATAGACGCATTTATGTAGATCGGGGGTGCATTCTCTTCAGAAACAAACGTAATCCACTGCGTCTTCAGCTCTCAGATGTCGGAGTAAATGACGACTGCTATGTTCATTATTACATCCTGTCTGTCTTTGTGCAAAGAAGAAGAGAGTAGGAAAAATCAAATCCAAATTCAATCCAAACTGCAGGTACATTTATTGTTGTGTGTTTTGATCAAGGGCTCAGTAGTGATGGACTGGGAAGTGAACAGGTTCATGAGCACTGATTAGAAATTATATATATATATATTTTATTGTGGTGCATTCTGGAGAGGAATACTATTCTTCAATTCCAGCTCCATTCTGCAAGAAGGTTTTGTTTTTCACTTTAATCAGAATATTGCATGAAATACTTTGCTTATTATCTTTCTTTATGCTAAGTTGATTTTTTTATTTTCACATTTGAGACCATTTCAAACATTTCAAAGAATGAAAAATACAAAAAATGTGTAACTTGAAATCTAGTTCTCTATTCTCTGGAAAAATGACATGGTCACGAAATGCTGTATAACCAACCAAACTGATTACTGTACAACTGAATTTATTAAGTTGCTTTTTCAAAGCAAATGATGAAGAAATGTATACTTAACCACTTGTGGTCACCGAGCTGTATTCACAGTTATTGTAGTCTATCTTGTGTTCTTTGCTGTGTTCTTAACCCTACACACAAAGATGCCAAGGTGCAAAGTACTGAAGAATTATATTAAAAACGTTTCTATATGAATTTATATTTTTAAGAGCTACTATATATAAAGATCAGATTCACTGAATTATTGATGGACTTCTTTTCTTCAAATGAGTGAGAGGGAATTATTATTCTGACATTTTATACTTCAAGTTAATAAAGTCAGTTCTATTTTATTTGTATATTTTGATGTCCAGTCTCTGTATATACATTGGTGAAGCATTGAATATATCACTAATTTCTAATCAAAGCTTGAATTTGACTCAATCTCAAATGACAGTACTGTACAGACTCAACTGATCTTAACTGAAATTACAGACACTGAAATCATTTTTAACTACTAATTATAATCAACTTTTCATATAAAAATCATATTTGTCATATAAAAAAAAAATATGCAGCAGAAGAAAAGACATACATATTTCTGGAATATTTCTACTGCAAATGTTACCGTGAAACCTGCATTTTATTTATTACAAAATACACACATTTTTCAGAGTAAATTAAGAAAATGATATATCATATTTTGCGGATTTGCTGCCTTGCAGGATTCCAAATACAGAAACAAAATATTTTATTTATCTTATGTAATGGGAAAAACAAATAGAGAATTAAGCACACATGTTGATTATCACAGTACTAACCTAAAATGTGATGTATGGCCATGACATACACCTGTTACCAGGTACAATTATATTTTACGATAAATTCCATCAAGATTGAAAATCCACATAAGATCATACAAATGTTTTCTTATAGAGAGCCATTTGATAGGGTGAAGCTAGGCAGCATTTGTAATAGTGTTTCAGTAATAACTGTTTTAGTGATTCAGCGTTTCAAGCTTCACAGCAGCCATGATTAAGGCTGAATTTATGTGGTGTATCTATAGCCTAGGATTTAGTATATCTATATGTATGCTGCTGAAATTAAGGTCCTTCTTTTCAAATGTTGTTTTTAAATCCTATCTGGAGACTTATTTATTTTTATCTTGAGTTTGTGAACAGTTTGTCTTTGGTTTTGGCAGCTAATTTGTCTGTGTGTGTGTCTTTATTCATTGTAATTTAGGATGTTGCATTGATTATCTGTTTCTCTATAATGTTCCTGTAGCAGTTAATCATGATCACAGTGTTATCAATGCCATTGTCATAGATTTAATTCCCAGAGAAAACATGTATTGATCAAATTTACAAGCTTGAATGCATTGTACAAGTCTCTTTGATAAGTTTCTGACAAATGCATAAATGTGCCTGTTTGGACAATGTGTTGTGTTCAGTGTGCAATATCAGAAATAAATGTCTTAAGTGTGAGTTTATGTATGGAGCAACATGATATGTGTTGCGTTTATAATTTTGTTCAGTGTATATTAGGTTCTCGTCAAGGAGTAAGACAGGAAGATATTCCACTCAGTTATGCCCTCTGGAGGTCTGCAGCCAAGGAAATAGAACTCAAAAACACGCTATAGAGCACTATGAAGAGCATGCCAAACCAACAGGTGACGCATCAGAAGCCTGAAAAAAGGTTATTACTGGTTTCGGTAGAGATAACAGCGCATGCTCAGATGTCATAAGCCAAAATCTCCAGTTTCGCTGTCTATATTATAACACTGAAACCAGAATTTAAAAAAATCTTCACCCTGGCAGAAGTTTTCAAAAAAGGTTCAGTTTCAGTGACCTGATGCTGCGTTTCCATGTGGATGAACGGCCAAACCGCTTAGAAGAAGCTGCGGTTTTGAAAATACCCACGCTCGTGTGGACAGGGCCTCAGTGTACATATGTGACCATACTACAGGATGTTAAAAGTAACACTGAAGCAGTGTTACAGTTAATTAGGTACTTAAATGATTAATTGACACCTGATGATAATGAGCAGAATCACTGGAGGAAAGAGAAACACAAGAACTACGACTTCAATTGCAGTCTTCAGATTCATACAAGCTTAATTAAAAACACATCACAAAACAATTTAAATTTGTTGAGTTCTAAAATCTAATTAAAAACATTTATTTTTTTTTTCACTTCAGTGCATCACTATTAGAAGTGAGTTTAAACTCAACCTGCACGTGTTGAAACAGAAACTCTGTGACTTCCTGATCACCGTTTTCAAGCATCTGCATTGCCACCTCATTTGCATATTTTGCAATGACGGCCGGAAGCAGCTCAGTGTGCACGGAAAAACTTGCTCTCACAGCACAAGGATAAGAATAAATTCCACCGATCATGCACAAAACGTCATCACACCCACACAGTACATTCCCTGGTGTTAATTTAATACCAGTATGTGGCCACATCTACACAAAGCAAGAGATTTCCCTATCTGATCTTTTTTTTTCCTTGTTCTAAAAAAAATTCAGTAAACACGGTGTCGTCTCAAGAAATATCTGCGTACACACGAAACGACTGAATTCGACTCAAAACGATGTAATATACATACCAGTCCAGTATGTGGCATTGCAATTCTGCCACAGAGATACACTAAAAACTAAGAAAACTTGGAGCATGCACACAAACCTGGGCTGTATCCGAAATCGCCCCCTATACTCTTAAATAGGGCACTATTTGAGGGGACAGCCATTTTTAGTGGTGTCTGAATCCTTAGTGGACATTATCGAGTTGTAAGGATCCACCCACCGGCCCAAAAAGCAGAGTCCAGCGGCCTGGTTGAAGGTTTAATGCATATTTGGTCTTTTACTTGCACTTCTGAATTTATCAGGATTTAGTTTAAAATTTAGTCTAGCTCCGTGTTCAGTCTGACTCCAATTTTAAATGAGCATTAAATTTAGGTAATGTTTCTAATTAAAACTGTTCACAAATGTCGATTATGTATTAATTTAGATATTTGATTATTCCGGACTCACTATACTTTCAATTATCCGTTCACTGGGGACCTAATGTCTCTTTTAAGTCTCACGTTGGCTATAGGTGGACCTTACGATCACAAACTCGCCAGTCTGATGCTAGTCAGAGGGTGTAGGTAGACTTATACCTGTTTTGCCTGCCGCCTACTGCTTGCTTATGACAAAAAGTGTTGTTTACTTCGTCTTTTCCCGTACAAGCTGCTAGCACCATTGATAGACAGAAATCTCTCCGATGACGTGCCCACTGCTCCTATCATTCATGAGCCTTCAGTTTGACCTATCCTGGCCGTAGATTTGCGGTAACAAAAGCCTCCTCACAGTCTACTAGTCATGATGATTTCAGCAGAGATCAGAATAAATCAAATATAAAATTGTATTATTGGTCAGGTAAAATTGTATCATGTCAATTACACAAAGAAACAATTAGAAGCCAATTTAGAAAAGATAATGCAATTGTGAATCAGATTGTAGCCGCGTGGCAACCCTGCTCCTGTACATAGACACTGTAGCTATATGGGAAACAGCCAAGTGTTCCACGCAGGAGACAAACAAATTTAACATAGTCACACATGTAGCAGTTATCCTAATTTAACATAAGACACATGTTCTAAAACGCATAGCAAAGCACTCAAGTGTTTTAGAGAATAAACTTAACTAGCCTACGCGCACATGTAGTAGAACAAACAACTATACAGTGTGCACAATGTGTTTAACACAATTACATTTTTGAATAAAAATGAAATGCATACTCGACTTCAGGAAGATACATAGTATGGAGCATATGAAATACAGAATAGCCAAGTAGTGTTTTGTCACTTCCCTTATATACTCAGACCAGACAACAAAGAAATCTTCAAATCAGTTGTAAAAACATAAAAGAAGGTTGTTAGGTTCGGTGATCAAGGGTCACACCTGGCTGGAGATAGATGAACATTCCCACAGACCCCTAAAGAGGGACAGCCCCCCTCCTCAGCAGAACACAATTCTATAATTATAATACATGTGACTACTGTGAAATTGAGACCATTTTACCAATCGCACAAAGTCCTTTAAAATGAAAAGTTTACGATCATGAACTCTGAAGATATAATAAATGTTTTATGTGAGCATAGCAGCTTGAGTTCTTGGCATTTCTCTGTCAACTTTTAGTGACCTGGACCATGTACCCAGGTGAAGGGGCCGACGAGCAAATGGTCTTTCTTCCAGGTCTTCCTATCTGATAAGGAGATCAAAGCCCATTGTTTTGTGGCATGGCCTATGCATTGCGAGAGTTCCTGAGTTTTGGCTTCATGAGGAGTTAATTTCATAAGGAAATAATTTCACTCCTTGCAAAAGGTTGAGGAAAAGGAAGAGCTAAAAACTACTCTCATGCAATGTTGATACTCAGAAATAGATTTACATGAATGTCTTTATGTGGAATATGTGAAGCTGCTCAGAAGTTATTCAGCACACATCAGCTCTGAGATCTTCAAGCTCCACAGAACTTCTACAGATTCTTTCTGTCATTGTGAAGAAACATCTTGATGTGTGTGCTGTTCCTGGTGATCTTCTGCTCCAAGCAGTGCACTTCATATGGTGAGGGCTTTCATTTAGAATCCAGACAAAATATATTATTTTCAGACAATTTATGGCACGTTTAGTTTCATTTGTTGCATTTGCACAGGTTTGGCTAATGTTGGTTTTATACCCATTCTCTCCTAAAACGATTTTTTTAATTTCACCAACAGCTGCTCATGCAGCTCCTGTGTGGTGTTGCTTTGATTTTATTGACTTTCAAATTCCATCCAAAAGAATTGTCAGTGCTGTGGAGACAGATTCACGTTGCCCTAACGCTGCCATTGTGTAAGTATTTAAACTCTGAAATATAGAAATGTGCTCCTTTTATAGATGAATCATAATCAGATCAGTTTTGAATAATAATCATAACATTTTTGCTAACATGATCCTCACAATAAAGGCATTTTCTTTATCTATACTTTTTTGCACTCAGCTGTTTTTTATCTTTGTTTTTCAACCATGGGAGCATAATCCAAGGTTATTTTGTGGCATGATTGCTACAGGGGTAGTGCTTTTAACTCAACTTCTTTTTTTGTTTTTTTTTCTTGGCAGTGCTGTTACTAGTGATGAGTTGTAGGGATGAATTATTGTTTTAATATGACTGACAATATTATTTTAAAGTTAAAGTAAACTCCCAGGTAAAACTGCCTCTAACAGAAAGAAAAGCTGCAGTTTTCCTATCTTTAGATTTGCATATTTTAGTTGTGTGAAGCAGTTTAACTGGTGGTCAGAGAGCTCTCGGATTTCATCAAAAATATCTTCATTTGTGTTCTGAAGATGAATGAAGGTCTTACAGGTTTGAAACGACACGAAGGTGAGTAATTAATGACAGAATTAGTATCCTTACTGTAGTTGTCAAAGTGGCTAAAACACATGAAATTGAATTCTGAACTGTTTTGATCAAACACAACTTTGTTTTATAGAACTAAACGTGAAATACGTGGTATATGAGGAACAAGACCACAATCATGTAGGCCTACCATTTCTTATGGAGTCATCTGAAGTGACACAGTGAACTCTGCTGTGTCACCAGTGTTGGGCAAGTTACTTCCAAAATGTAATACATAAATGTAATAGTTGCTGTCTTTTGAAAGTAATTAGTTACATTACAATATTACTGTCTCTGAATTGTAATGCGTTACACTACTTTTGAGTTACTTTCACCAAAATATCCACAGAAGTATTATAAAATGCCAAAATGTAGTTTATTGCTGCTCATTCTACACCCAGTGGAGGGTAATGTGGTAGGTCTATATTGCATAAAATTATAAAATCATATTTAGATGCCGGTATGTAGGTCTACATTAATGTTACGTTGTAGTTTAGGTTAAACACAGATAACCAGAAACCGCATTATTACATTCATAACACCGGTAAATAAAGAGAAATGTTATAATGTACAAACAATAAACACAATACCTAGCCTATAGGCAATTTTGAACGGTTTCAGAAGAAAACAAGAATGAAAAATATAAGTTGCTAAACAAGCCAAAACGAATTAGGCTAATCAGTGGCGGCGCTAGGGCGGGGCTTGACGAAAAAGGGCTTGACGAATGGGCTTGGCCATCAGAAACTTGCTTAGCCCCAGCACAGCCCCCCCAAGGATTTACTAATGATGTTCCCTTATTTTTGCTGTTACTTTCATTAACATTAAAAAAATAAACATAAAAAAAAATTTGCCTAATATGTGGCCTATAAACGATTGATATTATGGGGGAGGGGTCAAGCAACACAAGCAAGCAACGCGCAAACTGTGCGCAAGAGTTATGCCGGTGAAAGGTACTGGAATAATGGAACCAGATACCTAGTCTGTCCAATACTTAGTCTGTCTAAAAATATGAGTGTTGTAAGGGCCAAAGTTGGCATGCCAGTGGAGGACCACATTCTGTGTGATTGCAGCATATATTGTGATGTTACCACCACGTTGACCTGGGACATTCAAAATAGCTCTGTGGCCAACCATGTTTCTCCCTCTCCCTCTTACAGCAACACTGCCTTTAATTTTTGTTGAAGGCAAAAAATCACCTGTTGCCTTTTTATAGTGCTCACACCTGATTGTTGAGTTTACGGTTAAGCACCTAAGTGTCTGCACACCTGACGGCTGTGTTTGATCAATTGGTTCATATGTGTGGTATTTTGGAAAGCAGTGTCTTGAAATGACAAAGAAGTGACATCAGGTTAGATTTCTGTGTCTGATGTGTGTTTAGTGTCTTGCAAAAAGTGTGAGGCTGAGAATGTGCTTATAGTTGTGCAGATCTGCACTGTGGTTTTGCTCTTTGAGTGTCAGGTTTCACTAACTGTGTTATTTTTAATTTTAGTGTGCAAGCAATCATAAAAAAAAACTAAATAAAAATGTTTTCAGTGTTAAATGTGTTTGTTGAGAGTTCTGTTCAAATAAACAGCAGTAAAACTAAGAAATGACACGTGTTTTTTGCATTTTCTGTCAAAAAAACTATCGTTAGCAATGCTAAACCTCCTCAAACACAACTGTATATGTGCAACGTTGTCAGATCTGTTCTCACAGCTTCAGAAAAACAAAAAAATGGTTTCATATCTGTGTCACACAATGAACAGTCATGATTTCCCGACTGACTGCATTAAAATCATACAACTAAAACCACAAAAATATGTGACCCTGGACCACAAAACCAGTCATAAGGGTCAATTTTTCGAAATTGAGATTCATGCATCATCTGAAAACTGAATAAATAATATTTCCATTGATGTATGGTTTGTTTGGAGAGGACAATATTTGGCCGAGATACAACTAAGTTAAATGATAGACATTAATTTTCAGGGATACAAACTACTTCTGGCATTTTCGAATGTCTTAATGCCATTTACGTTATTCGTCACAACATAAGATAAGAGTGAATGTTTGTAAATCTAATATCCAGGCTTTCTTCTGTAATTTCAGGTGTCTAAGAAAATGTTTTTAAAAACCCGTAAAATATCATTCTCAAACTTACTCTAGAACACTGTAAATCGGAAGACTTAGTAACAACCGTCAAGTGCCATGATTAGGAATTATAGCCTAATAAAAAAATATAATTTGCTAGCCTGTTTCACATGCATCACACACTGGCAGTCAAATGTTTAAAATAATTAAATTTAAAATAATAATTACGACTTTTTATTTATTCATTTATTTTTTGAAAGAAGGCTGAATTTATTTGATCAAAAATACAGTAACAGATAATACTATGAAATATTACACTTAAAATAGTGGTTTTCTATTAAACATATTTTAAAATGTAGGCTAATTTATTTCAGTGATGCACAGCTGAATTTTCAGCATCATTCCTCCAGTCTTCAGTGTCACAAGATCTTCAGAAATCATTCTAATATGCTGATTTGCTGCTTAATTATTATCAGTTATTATTTGTGATCAATTATTACTAATGGTCCTTATTATTATCAATACTGAAAACGTAATTTTTTAAATATGTTTTTGCTTAATATTTTTGTGGAAACTGTGATAGGCCCTACAGTATAACGGGCACTTCTCGTGTTTACAGTTGGAAGCTGCATCAGATTCAGACACAATCAGAGCTGCAATATTTTTTCTCGTATACTGTTCATTTCAGACTGAAATCATCAGAGATCTTGTTTACAATAAACTTCAGCTGCTCTACATATCATATAAGTGAAGTGACATGTGGCCAGGTATGGTGACCCATACTCTGAATTAGTGCTCTGCATTTAACCCATCCAAAGTGCACACACACAGCAGTGA